GAGGACTTCTGCCCGCAGGCGGGCGCCCGCGCCGCCGCCGAGCCGTGCCAGCGCTGCGACGCCGCCGACCCGCGGCTCCACCACAACGCCTCGCTGCTCACCGACTTCCACAGCGAGGAGGAGAGCACCTGGTGGCAGAGCCAGTCCATGGCCTTCGGCATCCAGCACCCCAACTCGGTCAACATCACCCTGCACCTGGGTGAGTGCGGATGGGCACCCCAGTGTGGGTATTGAGGTTGGGGGAGATGCCCTGGGGTGGATGGGGTGCTGGGTGCTCTCCCCAAGGATGCTCCTGCGCTCTCGGTACAGGTTTGGGTTAAGGCAGGACCTCCCAGCCCAGGCTCTTGTTCCTGGTGCGAGGAGGGAGATGTCCCTTGTCCAGCGCAGTGGATGGGTCACAGGACTGGCTGCTCCTTCCCTTAGGTCATGGGTGGTGGGGACAGAGCCCAGGAGAAGAGTTGGGTCTGCTATGGGTACAGACTGGGTGAAAACACGATCCTGAAAGTGTTCACAGGTTATTGAGCCTCTTGTGCTCCATGGTAGACAAGTCTGCCCCTCTGGGCTTCATCCCGCTCAAGGTGGCCACTTTGCAGTTTGCCCAAGGCTGTTTTAACCCAAAATGCAGGTTTATGGGGCAAGAGGCAGGCGCTTGCCCTGGGAGAGCCGCTACCCGCAGCGATAGCGCCGGGTCCCCCTGCATTCGTGCTGGGGCTGTGAGCACTGGTCCCAGCGGAGGGTCCGTGTGGGACTTGGGCCCTTTCCCAGCCCCGTGCACATCTGCTCCATGTTCCCAAGTATCCAGTGCCGGTTCCCTGCTGGGGATGGGAAGCGGCACCAGAGGAGCTGCTGGCCACCGCTGACACCTCCACCGTGGGCTGTGGGTTTCCCTAGATTTGCTCATGCTTGAGCAGTAACGTAGATGCTCACTGCAACCAGCATCGCTGCTGCAACCTGCCGTCCTGTCCCCACCACGGCCACAGGCAACTTGGAGCCTGAATTTTCCAGCCATGGAAACTGCTGGCTGAGCTGCCCAGCTGCCGTCGTCGCCACTCCAGAGTTTGCTTCCCAAGCTCTGCCACTCTTGTGGCTCCGCTGCGGCCATCAGAGCTGCTCACACCCTGTCCTGGATGTCCCAGCAGGGTTTCATGCAGCTCTGTAGACCTCCCTGCTCGAGCCTGCGCCCTAGGAGCGCGTCCAAGGCTGTGTCCGTGTTCCCGGCTTGTGTCCAGCCTCCGTTACCAACCCCGATCCCCTTCCCGAGCCGAGCGTCCTCCGCAAACATAGCCAGGGCTCTTCCTACGCTCAAAATTTACCTTGGCATGCTGAAAAGTGCTGTTTTTGTGCCCGGCGTGCTGCTGTCTGACTTCTCCCTGCTGTTCCCCATTCTTGTCCCAGCTGCACGTTATTTTTTCTCACTATCTTCAAGTTTCACCCTAGTCATTGAGGAGAAGCCCGAGGTGGCTGCTGCGGAGCTCCCCTCGGGACCTGGCCCAGGACGAGCCCTCACTTGCGTTTCTGAAGCAAACTCAGCCATAATTGAGTTTTTTTAACCCACGTAGCTTGTCTCCTGTCAGCTAGTTTCTGTTGCTCGGTCCCAAGCCAGATGTCTTCTAGGTTGTCCGGTGTGGATGCCTGGGGATCTTATTAAGTAAGATATCGAATGAGTTAGACAAGACCTGTGTTTACCTGCGTGCTGTTGATTGGCATTAATTAGATTATCCTCCTTTAAGCCTCTCCTCTCGGAGGGGTTTCAGCCACGCCGGTGCAGAGAACCGGATCGATGGGCCCGTAACGACCGTGGCCGTGGCATTTGCTGCAAGACAGCAGCGTGGTCCCGCGAGGAACCCGGAGTATTGGTGACATTGCGGGCACATGTGGCATAGGTGGCTCCAGGAAGCTCCTCGGGCATCTCCTGGAACCAGGATCTGTGATTTAAACGGCTGCGGATGTAGGTTGTTCAGGGATTCTCTCTTGCTTGGAGGAACTGAACAGAACTTGGCCGATTACAGTGACCGTCCTGGAGAAAAAGGCCCCAGGAACTTGCAATATTCCCCGTGGCTGCAGGTTTTGAAGATCCCGAGCTCGGCCCCCGCGTCCTCCCTCCCCTCCGTGCAAGGCCGCTCCGGGCAGCGCCTGTTTATTGACACAGCCTGGCTCGGATCCTCTCCCAGAGGAAACGGCCGCGCGCGGGGACGGCTCCGACCTCCCCGCTTTGCAAACGTCCCCCCGGGACCGCGGCTGGGAACGGGCACCATCAGCACGGGGGGGACACGGGGACAGGTCACAGCAGAGCCCCGAAACTCCCTGAGCGCCCCGAGAACCATCCAGTCCTGCAGTCACCTCTGCTTTGGACTAAAGAGCTTCAGGATAAGGGTGTCCCCAGCAGCATCCGTGCGGGAAGGAGGCAGGTTGGAGCTGGGATGCCTGGAAGGGCCCGTGCTCACCGGCTCCAGCAGCTTTCCCAGCCTCCCGGTATCCCGGTTAGCTGGGCTCCCCCGCAGCAAAGTCGCAGTGCGTATGTGACATTATTCATATGGGCCCAATTAAGGGCTTGTTTTCCTAGTCCCAGAATAACCCCTTGAACATTCCCAACTCATTAGCTTTTCAAACAGAGCCAAAACCTTGTAGCTAATTGTTTTGCGCTGTTGGGAGCGGTGCCGTTATGGAGCAACCCGGTCTTTGAGCCGGTCCTTCATCTCCGACTGCTAAGTACTTCTGCGGTTTGCCTGGGGACCCCCCTCCTAACTCTTTAAAGCTCCTCTTTAAAGCACTTTTGGCACCGGGCTGCCGGCCCCGGGGATTGGCGTCCTCCATTCGTCACGACCGCCCATGTCCCGACCCCCTGCGCTGGGACCAGCCTGGAGCAGAGGGGAGGAGAGGGCGGCTGGTGCCCCAGGCACGTCCTGCCCCATTGCACCTCTGCCCCCGGGGCTGGTGGGGGGTCTGGCTCTTCCCTTCGGATCGTGGTTTGGGGCTGGTGCGGGGCGCTGTGCAAGCCAGGCTTGGTGCAGGGAGCGGGATGCTGCGTTAGCGGGAGCGTTGGAGCTGCTCCGGGCTGCTCTGCGGCCGGGGGAAGCTCCTTGCAGGGGAACTGGGGGCAAAGCGGCGCGTCCTGCTCCCCGCGGTGCCCAGGGTGCTGTGAGCATCTGCGGCCGCCTCTCCAGCCTCAGCGTAGACAGCATCTGAGCAGCGGCTCCCGCACATCTGTGCACATCTGCACACATCTGCGCAGGCAGCCGAGGGGGAAACGGCTGCTGTGAACACGCTGATCCCAGCCAGGCTGCTCGGCACTGGCGGCGGGTCCGTTCCCAGCACCGTGCTCTGCCGTCCCCAATACGGGGTGTCCCCGGCGTGCACCCCCTCCCGCTGCCCCTCTCGCAGCTACTTCCAGCGGCGGCAGCACCGATTTGTGCCCCTTGCTGGGGGCGGGCGGGCAGCGGGAGCCCCGGGCCATGGTGACACTGCCCATTCACCCCAGGCAAAGCCTACGAGATCACCTACGTGCGGCTCAAGTTCCACACGAGCCGCCCCGAGAGCTTCGCCATCTACAAGCGCGGCCGCCCTGGGGGGCCCTGGCTGCCCTTCCAGTACTACAGCGCGTCCTGCGAGCGGACGTACGGCACGCGGCCGCGGCAGCCGCTGCGCCCGGGCGACGACGAGCGCGTCGCCTTCTGCTCCGACGAGTTCAGCGACATCTCGCCGCTGAGCGGCGGCAACGTGGCCTTCTCCACGCTGGAGGGCCGCCCCAGCGCCTACAACTTCGATGGGAGCCCCGCTCTGCAGGTTCGGGGAGGGCGCGGGATGCGCCCGGCAGCGGGAACGGCGCCTCCGGGGATGCTCGGGATTTAGGGTGGGAGGCACGAGTCACTTGGCTGTGTCCCCTGCAGGAGTGGGTGACCGTCACCGACCTGCTCATCTCCTTGAACCGCCTCAACACTTTCGGCGACGACATCTTCAAGGACCCCAAGGTGCTGCAGTCGTACTACTATGCCATCTCCGACCTCTCCGTGGGTGGCAGGTGAGGGAGATCCTCATCCGTGCGTGGGGCCGGTCTCCGGCACCAACTCGGTCACTTGGCTGCTGCTCGGATTTCACCTTTCCCAGCCTTAGAGCAGAGCTGCCCCTGCATGGCAGGGTTAAGAGTGCATGCATGGGGACCAAAGCATCCCTATGGGCACGGGGCTGAGCTGGCTTGTCCCCATCGAGGCGGCCGTGGGGCGCGCGCTCCTGCCTTGCTCCGCTCCCTGCAGGTGCAAGTGCAACGGGCACGCGAGCCGCTGCGCTGCCGACGCGGCCGGGCGGCTGCTGTGCGCCTGCGAGCACAACACGGCCGGCACCGACTGCGAGCGCTGCGGGCCCTTCCACCAGGACCGCCCGTGGGCGCGCGGCACCGCCGCCTCCGCCAACGAGTGTCTCCGTGAGTAGCGCCCGGCGCGGCGCGCGAGCAGCTCCCCGTGCCTTGCGAGGCTTGTTGGCCAGCGAGCGGGGATGGCATCGCTCCTAGGTGCCCACGTCCGTGCCCTGCTGCATGCACGGGGATGCAAAGCGTTTGCTCCCCTTATCCTGCCACCCTGGGCAGTGGTTTCAGGTGGACACCGTGTCCCTGCACTGCCATCGCTCTCCCCTTCTGCTTCCCCCCTAGCTTGCAACTGCAGCGGCCGCTCGGACGAGTGCGTCTTCGACCGGGAGCTCTACCGCAGCACCGGGCACGGGGGCCGCTGCCTGCGCTGCCGCGACAACACGGCGGGGCCGCGCTGCGAGCGCTGCCGGCCCAACCACTACCGCTGGGAGCCGCGTGCCGCCTGCCAGCCCTGCCACTGTGACGCTGCAGGTGCGTGGGGACGCGCGGACGCCGGCGCCGGCTCGGCCGGTCCCCCCGGCCATGGGTAAATGCAGCAGCACGGGGAGCGCACGCAGCGTGCAGAACCCCCCGTGTGCCTCTAATCCACCAAAGGGCCCCCTGTCCCCTCCTGATGTCACTGGGGTCCCCACGCAGGCTCCCTGCACATGCAGTGCGACAGCTCGGGCGCCTGCGCCTGCAAAGCCACGGTGACGGGCTGGAAGTGCGAGCGCTGCAGGGACGGCTTCCACAGCCTGGGCCGGGGCGGCTGCCGGTGAGGAGGGCGCCGGGACCCCGCGCCGGGGCTGGCGGTGCCAGGACCCCGCGCCGGGGCTGGCGACGCCGGGGCTCACGTTGCTCTCGCCCATGCAGACCCTGCGCCTGCAACCCGGCGGGCAGCGTGGGCACCTGCGATCCCAACTCCGGGCGCTGCGTCTGCAAGGAGCACGTGGAGGGCGCCACGTGCGACAGGTCAGCGGCTCTGTGGATGGACGGGAGGTGTTTCTTCCCCTGGGATGTGGCTATTTTGGAGCTGCTTTCCTCCCCTTCCTCCTCCTCACGGGATGGAGGCTCCGGTGCCCGCGGCTCTGCCCCATCCCGCGCTCTGTGTTTCTTCCACAGGTGCCGGCCGGGCTGGTTCAATCTGCAGCCCCACAACCCCGTCGGCTGCACCAGCTGCTTCTGCTACGGCCACTCCACGGCGTGCACGGCCGCGGGCGGCTACGAGGAGACCCAGCTCCGTGCCACCTTCGAGCGAGGTGCCAACCCCTGCGGGCTCTGCACCGCGGCCAGAACGGGGGTGACGCTGCGCTAGAGCCACCAAATCCCAGGATGCTCCAGCAGTTTGGGGCAGCATCCCAGTCCAGCACTCACTGGTGGCCATGAGGGGTGGGAATACGGGTCAGAAAGATTAAAAGTAGCAAGGAAGCAAGGATGGAGCCTGGTGGGAATTTTCCAGAGGGAGGAGCCACCTCCGGCTGGGTTGGAGCAGGGCAGGACGGTCCCAGGGAGTGGGACGGGGCTTTCTGAGCAGGATTATGCTTGGAAAGGCCGGCATCTCCGTGCGGGATGCCTAAGGAAACCCTGCCACCTGCCGCGCAGCCGGGCGCCTGCATCCCGCTGCCGGCAGCTCCGCTGTGTCCCAGCGCACGGCCATGCGCCTGGCACCCTGCCCCGTCCCCGGCCTCGCAAGGGCATCAGGAGCCGGACGGAGGGGAACGTGCCAGGCTAAAGCTTCCCCTGGTTGGTTTAACTGGCCGGATCGCTGCGTTCTAGGCAGTAGAGCCGGCTTTGGGCTGCTTGTTTAAGGACAGATTTTTCCAAAGGTTCAGGGTCGGATCGGAGCAAGCTCAGCCCACGCAGGCCGCGCTGCAGAGGGACAGCACTCTACAGAGCGCGGATATTTGCTCTTAAATCAAGTCCCCCAAAGCGCTCCCCAAACCTACTGGCTGAGCTGGATCAGCCTGAGACTTCCTGGGCTGCGGGAAAGGGTCCGGATTTGGGATGAGATAACGGATCCCGCTGAGTGCAGCCCACTCCACGTTCCCTGAGAGATTTCCAAGCGTTTGTCCTTCAGGAGCCCAGAGCTGGATGCAATAAATAATTGCTGGGAGCGGAGGAGGGCTGAACTTCTTTCCAAAGGAAACCAACTTTATGCAATTACGTCCTGTCTGTCTCCGGGCTTCCTCTGTGCTCCGACTTGGGAACCACAGAATGGGCAGGGAAGGAAAAGCTTCAAGATACCTTCTCCAAATCTGAGAAAACAAACAGATGGGAGCAGAGCGGCTTGTGCTGCTCTCTGGCACGGGGGGACTTGTTTGGAATAGGGCATTGAAAGGCTCCAGCTGCAGGAAAGGGCTTGCGCTTTACTAGACATCAGAGAATCTCATGAGCTGGAGCCATGAGAAGAAAAACCCTGTTGTTCCCAAGGCTCACGAGGTGACTTGGTGCTTCCCCTCCTCTGTTTGTCGCGCAGGGCCGGAGGGCTGGGCGGCCGCCACGCCGGCTGGCACCGCGATCCCTTTGCATTGGGCTGATGGCGAGATCTTCACCGAGTGGGACGGAGAGGATCCGGTGGATTTTCTGGCTCCAGGTGTCATGCACAGGGATCCCCGTGCCCCAGCATCAGCCCTCCAGTGTCCCCTGTTGATCCAGTGCATGTGGATGCAGGAGCTGGTTGCATCTTTGGAGCAAGGGGCTGTAGCCATGGGCTGGGTGCTGGGTTGGGACCTCAGGAGGTCACTTTGGAGCTGGCCCTGCTCTGGGAGGGTGACAGGAGGCAAATCAGCTTTGATGGCGATGGGAACAAGCCATCAGCACACGCAGCTCTGGCCGACTTTCCTCCCCTTTCCCATCGCAGTGAAGTTCCTGCAGAACCAGCATCTCAGCTACGGGCAGCTGCTCTCCCTGCAGCTGGGAGCAGAGGGGAACAGCAGCGCGGGGCCCCTTCCCCGGGCGCAGCTGCTGCTGCAGGGCGAGGACGTGGCCGTGGCACTGCAGGCCCCCTCCAACGACAGCCAGAGCCCTCCCGGCCATGGGAAGCAGGTTGTCACCTTCAGGTACCCACTGCGGCCACCAGGCTCCCTCCTCGGGCACGCTCGGGTCCCAGGGGCTTAAGCGAGGACTAACCGTGTCCCCACGGTAGCTGTAGCCACCAGCCGGGTCCTGCCCTCTCTCCCGGCTGCTTCTCCAACAGGCTTCACGAGGCAGAAGAGGGTGCGGAGCCTTCGCTGTCCCCCTTCAGCTTCCAGCGCCTGCTCTCCAACCTGACATCCCTCCGGCTCCGTGTGAGCCACGGCGCCCTGCAAGGTAGGTGGCTTTGTGTCCCATCCATGTGCCAAGGGGGTGGCACTGCGTGGTGGCCCCATGCAAGACACAGGGGCACAAAGAGCCCCGTGCAAAACGAGTGAGACTGTGTGGTGGCCCTGCGCAAGACAAGGGGTGACATGAAGTGCTGGGGGGAGCCAGTCTGGGATGGGGGTGTCAGAGTGGCACCAAGCAGCACAGTTGGCACGAGGGTGCATAGGAGCTGGCTCCTCTGCTTGGAGAGCCCTATTCGGGACACGGAAGATCCCATTTGGGGGTCTCCCCCACTTGGAGCAGAGCGAGGAGAGCCGCACGGCGCTGTCCCCCCAGGCAGGCTGTCCCTGCGCGAGGTGCAGCTCGTGTCGGCGCGCCGCGGGACGGCCACCACCACCGCCACCACCGCCGCCGCGGCCACCTGGGTGGAGGAGTGCGCCTGCCCGCCGGGCCACGGCGGCCGCTCCTGCGAGTCCTGCGCGCCCGGCTTCGCGCGCCGCCTGCCCTTCGGCGGGCCCCTGGTGCCCTGCGTGCCCTGCGCCTGCAACCGGCACGGCACCTGCGACCCGCTCACGGGTGAGTGCCCCCCGGCCGCGCGCCCGCCGGGCCCCAACCTCGCGTTGGAAAAATTGGATCGACCTGCTTGTGTGTCTCCTATGGGTGCTGGGAGTTATCCGGCACGTTGCAGGGTTGCACGCAGAGCGGGAGACTGAGCAGGGAAATGGGAAGAAAAGGTTTAGGGGAAGGCCCCAGAGGATCCCCGGGTTTGCTCCGTCCCCGTTGCTGCCCCGTGAGCCTGTTTTCCCTTACGGAGTGGGAGCAGCTCTGCCAGCGACGTGCGTGCCATGTGTCTGGGAGGAAGCCTGAAGCTGCTGCCGTTTTGCATGGACACCCCCGTGTCCCAGCCACATCCCGAGCCGCTGCCTGCGGTCGATTGCTGGACACGGCGCCAGCTGGGGCGCTGGGCAGCTGGGGAAGCTCTTGCTGTCCCCATCCCTTCCCTACGGCAGCAGCAACTCGGATTAGAGCTGGGAAATGAGCTGTTTGGTACCCACATGGAGCCCCTGGGTGCGCCTCGGTGAGCAGGGTGTGGGGCTGGGATGGGAAGAGCTGCAAGGGCGCTTTGCTCAGGCTGCACATTCGCCCCCTCGCCTCGGCCAGCCGGGCTGGCGTCTCCCGCGGGGCGCAGGGCCTTTGATCTGCAGGCCGAGCCGCCTCACGCGCTCCCTTGCATTTGTTTTTCCACCCTGTCCTGCCACCAGCTTTTCCTTTCTTTTCTTTTTTTTTCCACCATCCGGCTCCACCCGCATGTGGGGTAAATGGGTAAAAGACGTGGAAAGATGCCCATTCCCTTCCAAGAGCATCTCACTCTGCAAATAATAGGGGAAAATCCTCCCCGTGGAGCAAAGCAGCTTCCCTAGGGAGGGGTGGCCCTGGCTGGAGAGAGGTGGGTTTGCAGCAGCCTTCCTCCTCATCCTCCTCCTGCCAGCCGGTGACTCAGCGGCTGGGATTGAAGGAGAGCCACCAAGCTCCCAGCCCGGCTGCTGGCATTTCCCCCCATCCCGGCTGTGTACAGCTGGGAACAGTGGCTCCTCCGTGGGAAATATGTTGTTGATTAGCGCAGGCGCCGCCGGTGCTGCCCGTGCCCGGCGTGCCCATGTCCAGGCAGCAGCATTGCGCCCGGGCGAAACCTCCTCACCCAGCAAAAAAGGGGAAAGCTCCACGGGGAAGCTGTAATCCCAGCATAATTCCTTGCTGGTTGGTGTTTGAGGCTTGGTCTTTGCAGCCCCTCCGCTCTCGCCCTCGCAGGGCGCTGCCGCTGTTGGCACCACACGGAAGGGCCCTCGTGCGAGCGCTGCAGCGCCGGCTTTCACGGCGACCCCACGGCGGGGCGCGAGGACGACTGCCGGCCGTGCCCGTGCCCCGGGGGCTCGCCGTGCGCGCGGCTCCCGGGCAGTGACGAGGTGGTGTGCACCGGCTGCCCGCCCGGGCAGAGAGGTGAGACGGGCACGGACGGGCAGGGCTCGGCGGGACGGATGAGCAGGGGATGGGGACGGATCCCTGCCGCGTTCGTGTCCTCACGCAGGGAAGCGCTGCGAGCTCTGCGACGACGGCTTCTTCGGGGACCCGCTGGGGCAGCGGGGCCCCATGCGGCCCTGCAGCCCCTGCCAGTGCAACGGGAACGTGGATGCCAACGCCGTGGGCAACTGCGAGCCCGTGTCCGGCCGGTGCCTGCGGTGCCTGCACAACACCACGGGCGAGCGCTGCGAGCGCTGCCGGCAGGGCTTCTACGGGGACGCGCTGGCGCCCGCCGCCGCGGGGAAGTGCCTGCGTACGTGGGGGTCCGGGGCCCCTTCCCGGCCCCTCGGCTCCCTGGAGCATTCCTGGCAGGGAGGCGGATGGTGGCAGGGGATGCCCAGGGTGGGTAGGGGCTGAGCAAGGGGGTGCAGCAGCTCCTATATGGGGCATGGTGGCCCTGGGTGCCTTGGTCTACGTCCCTCTCCTCTCTTCCTGTCATCATCCTTCGCTATATAGCCTGTGTATATATAGAGATACATATATATGCATACATATATACATATGTATATACATATATAGTTATATATATATGTATGCACATATACATATATATGCATGCACATATACACATACATATAGAGATATATATGCATGCACATATATACTTACATATAGAGATATATATGCATACATATAAACACACACTTATATAGAGATATATACATACTTATATATATGCATTCATATAAACACACACATATATAGATATATGTGCATACTTATATGCACATACATAGATATATATATATACATGCATTCATATAAACACAGACATAGAGATATAAATGCATACGTATATGCACATATATAGAGATACATATATATGCATTCATATAAACACATTCATATAGAGATATAAACGCATACCCATATATACACATACATATATAGAGGTACACATATATGCATACGTATATATACACATGCATATATGTACACAGCCCAGTCCATGGTGCTCGGCCTCTTGAGCCAGCTCCGCTGTCCCCATCCCGCCGTCCCCGCGGCGCTGACAGCCCAGGCTGGGCGCTCACTGCCGCCTGCTCTCCCGCAGCGTGTGCCTGCAGCCCCCAGGGCTCAGTGCCAGGCCTGGGGGGCTGCGACGCCGTCACGGGGCAGTGCCCCTGCCTGCCCCACGTGGCCGGGAGAGACTGCGGCCACTGCCAGCCGGGCTACCACGGACTGCAGCCCGCCGTGGGCTGCAGGAGGTACGGGGGGACGAGGCGTCCTCAGCACCGGCGGGGGTCTGCACCCTGCCTGGGCTTTGCTTTTGTGTTCCCTGCCATCTCACCGCCCTCCTCTTGCCACCAGCTGCGAGTGCCACCCGACGGGCTCGCGGCACAGCGAGTGCCACGTGCTCACGGGGCAGTGCTCCTGCCAGCCCGGCGTGGAGGGCACGCGTTGCGACCGCTGCCAGCTCGGCTTCTTCGGCCTCTCTGCCGCCGGCTGCAGAGGTAGCGGTGACGGTGACAGTGCGGGGCTGGTGGCCGTGTCGCATCCCGGCCCTGAGCCCTCTTCCCCTCAGCCTGCAACTGCTCGCCGCTGGGCTCGGCCACGCCGCAGTGCCACGAGAACAGCACCTGCGTGTGCCGCCCGGGCTTCGTGGGCCACAAGTGCGACCGGTGCCAGGCCAACTTCTTCCTCGACCCGCCGAGCAGCAGCTGCCGCCAGTGCCCCGCGTGCTACGGGCTGCTGCGGGACGAGGTGGGCGCCGGTCCGGCTGGGAGCGGTGCCCGGCGCCTGCCGGCTTCACCCCGATCTCGCCCGCAGGCCGAGCGGCTGGAGGCGGCGCTGCGGGATGCAGAGGCACGGCTGCACCAAGTGGGCTGTGAGGATGATGAGGAGCTGGGTGATGCACCCCGGGGAGACAGGCTGCCCGGCCGGCACCTCCTGCAAGGTAGGGGGAATCCTCATTCCCCATGGCGGGACCGGAGTCCTGCTGCCCACCCTTGCGCTTCCCCCTCTCCAAGCGGCCCATGGTCCCTGTCCATCGCCTCCATCCTCGCCTTGTGCCGCCGCAGGTGCCCACGCGGTGCTGGTGGAACAGGCAGGGCGGCTGGCCGGCTCGCTGGGCGCCGCGCACGGCCGGCTCCGCAATGCCACCGACGTCGCCGGCTGCTCCGACCGCGGTGCCACCACCACCAAGACCTGCGCGCTGCTGGCCGCCGTCGGCGCCGCGCTGCACTCGGCGCAGCGGGCAGCCCTGCGCGCCGCGGACACGCTGGCCACCACGGTGCGCGGGGCTCGGGGACCGCAGCGTTGGGCATGGCTCAGAGCGAGCGGGAGCACCGGCTCTCATGGGCGCCGCTTGCATTCCCAGGAGATCCCGGAGGAAATCCCGCGGCAGCCCACGCGCTGGAGCCGCCGGGCGCAGGAGGCCCGCGCGCTGGCCGAGAGGTAGGCGGGCGCGCGCGGTCCCGAGTGCCTCCCTCCTCCGAGCGGCCGTGGCTCCCGCGAGGGGAGCCCCCATCTCCCGTGGCGCTCGCCCCTGCAGCCACGGGGCCGCGGCGGGGCGCGTGGAGGCCGCGGCGGGCAGAGCGCTGCGCGCCGCCGACGGCAGCTCCGAGCTGCTGCGGAGGCTGCTGGAGGAGGGCGCGGGGCTGCAGAGCCGGCGCGAGCTGGAGGCCAGGTGAGCGGCTGGGCGGCGGGTGGAGAAACGTCGTCTCCTCCGGCCGCTGGGGACCCCAGGGGACCGTGGTGTCCGGCCCTGCAGGTACCAGGACGTGGAGCGGGCGCAGGAGGAGCTGAGCGCGGGCGTGCTGGAGGCGGCGGCCGAGGTCAAGAGAACTTGTGTGGCTGTTCAAGCCCACGCAGACATGGCCAAGAAGCTGCTGCCCGTGACCGTTCTGGAGCCGGTGAGCGCCGTCCTTGTCCTTGTTCTTCAGCAAGGATGAGGGTTTTGTGTCCCCGCATCCGCTGCAGTGACTATGGAAGCGGTCGCTTCCCTGTTGCATCAGCAAGGATGCATCCCAGCCCCGGGCATGCCCCAAGGGAGCATCTCTGACCCCACAGCAGGCGCTGGCGGCCCGGGCCGAGGCCCTGGCGTGGGGCCTGGCCGCGGTGGCGGAGGCCGTGGAGGCCGCAGCCCGCCAGGCCGTGGAGGCGCCGCGTGCTCTGGCGGCCGCGCCGCGCCGGGAGCTGCGCAGGACCCGCGCCCTGGAGCAGGTGAGGCCCTGGGGACGCGCCACTCGCCCACGCCACGCGGGCTCCCTATGGGACACACTGTGGGGATGCTTTCCTACCTGGAGCCTCTGGTGTGGAGCCTCTCCTGCCTCCCATGCTGGGCGCAATGAGATCCAGGAGCCCCTGTGCCTGGCTCCGGTGGCTCCCCGGGAGCACAAGCAGTTCTGGGAGACATCTCCCATGCTTATGCATCTCCCAGCAATTTCAGCCCCACATTTCACAGTTGGGCACAGCTCTTCATCCCATCCCCAGCCTCATCCCTGCTCTCCTTTCTGCAGCTACGGGACAGGGCCAGCTCTGCCCACGCCGGGGCCACCTCAGCAGTGTCACACGGCAAAGCTGTGCTCTCCGACGCAGAGTCCATCCTGGCCAGCCTGGAAGGTAAAAAGCACCACGTAGAGCATTTCCCCAGCAGAGTTCAGCCCTTTCCACCTTCCAGGTGGGGCTCATGCCAATGCTGCTTTGGCATCTGCAGCTCCCCATGGGTGGAGATGGCCAAGGGCTGATGCTTTCCTGCCTCTCTCTCTGCTCCCAGAGATCCAGACAGCTCTGGGTACCCCATGGGAGACAAGTCCATGGTGGCAATCACAGGTTTGTCCCTACAGGCATGAGGAAGATGCTGAGACAGCGGAAGGGTCAGGCTGCCCTGAACAGGAGGATGGCGCTTGTGCAGAACAGAACCATGGTGGAGGCCCAGAGGAAGGCTAAACAGGCAGAGAAGATGCTGGGAAACTCCTTGTCCATGTCCACCACGGCCAGCAGGACGGCTGGGGAGGCTGAGCAAGTTGCTGTTGAGGGTGCTAAGGTCTGAGCGAGGGGCGCAGGGTGCAGGGAGCCCACGCCGGGGCAGTCCTCAAAGCAGAACCCAGTCTCTTGCAGATTCATGTAGCTCTCCAGATACATCTTCTGCTGCCCCCCAGCACAACTTGCCTTCCCAAAGGGTTTTTGAAGCCCTTTCTACATCCCTGCCCCACCAAAGCAGTCCTGATTCTGCCCTGCAGCACTGCTGTCCCTTCCCAGCTCCCTTTGCCATGCCAAGCTTGCAGTGCTCCTGGGTGCCCCTGAATGATGCTGCCCATGTCCATCCCTTTGCAGAGGGCACAGGCCGTGCTACGGGAGAGCAAGCACACCCACAAGCAGGCCCGCGAGCTCGCCACGCGCTCCAACGAGACCCAGCAGGAGCTCTCCACGCAGGAGCACGCAGCTGGGAAGCTCAGGGGGGACCTGGAGGAAGCAGACCGGGTGAGCCAGGTCTCCATGGGCAGGTTGTGTTCTCCTGCTTCCATCCGAAGCCAAAAAGAGGTTGGCTTTGGGACAGTGCTGTGGGGGAAGATGCCTTGGATGTTCCTGGGATCCCCTCTCCTATCGGATGAGTGACCCCCAGGGTGTCTGACTGGGATGTCTGTGTTGGAAGGTGAGGACAGAGGCAAATCAGATGGTGGAAAGTCTCCAGGAAGCCCGGGGCTCGCTGCTCGCAGACATCGAGACCCTGAACGACCTGCTCAGCAGCCTAGGTGAGGCTTGGGGAGATGGTGGCAGGTTCCTCGGGAGCTGCTGGGGCCTGGCATTCTCCTGCTCCCTGATTCCGGGCTGGGATTCGCTCTGGACTTTACAAAAGTTTTGTGAAGGTCATATCTCTGGGAAAGCCCTCATGCAGAAGGGGTTGGGATTTGCAGAAGATATGGGCTGAAGAAGAGATATGCATTTCCCTTGGCACGTCCAGGTGGAGCAGGGCTGGGCTGAGGGCTCCAGTCCTGGGGAACGGGGAGGTGCCAGTTGGGTTTTGCTCCTCGCTGCTGGCTGGATTCGCTCCAGCTCCTCCCGCTCCGGAACTTTGCAAAGGAGCAAAACCTCCTTGCCCGAGTAACCCACACCCTTCGCCCCGCGCAGGCAGCGTGGAGCAGGCGGCCGGCGTGGACGCGGCGCTGAGCGCCGGGCGGCAGCGGCTGCAGCTCCTGCGGCGGCGCCTGGCCGAGCCGGGCGCCCTGGCCGGGCGGCTGAGCCGGCTGCAGCGCGAGGCCGAGCGGCAGCGCCAGGAGATCCAGGCGTTCGAGAGCGACCTGGCCGAGATCCGGGCCGACAAGCAGAACCTGGAGGCCGTTCTGCGGAGCCTGCCCGAGGGCTGCGCGAGCTGGCGCTGACGGGGTGCCCGCGGCCGCCCGAGCACCCCCATCGCCCCCGTGTCCCCCTGCGCAAGGCACAGCAGAGCAAAGGCCGCCCCTGCGCTCGCTGGCATCTCGCTCTGCTCTCCACGTTGCTCCCCATGCAGCATCGCTCCCACGTCGTGGGCTGCACGGGCTGAGGCCTCCTGGTGCTCTGCAGCAGGACGTCCTGCCACCAGCTCTGCTCCTCACGAAGCGAGGAACCAGCAGCCAGGGTCCATCTGACGTTTCTGTGCAGGGGATAGAGCCGTGGCAGAGCTGGGCTCTCCCCATGAAGGTCCATGAAGAGCCACGGTGAAGCTGGGCTGTGAAAGAAGCTCACGGGAGGGCGTGCAGGTCTCCGTTCCTCGGCACCAGGAACCTCGCAGGGCTGCAGCATCGGCCTGGCCAATGTCCCTGAGTTGCACAGCCTGAAACAGCTGGAGCTGGTGGCTCATGCCAGTGTCAATGCCTCTGGCCAGCCCGGATGCCAGTGCCTATATTGCCTTTAAAGGAAAGGCATGTCTTAAGGATAAGGCACAGTTCATGTCTTAACCTGTTTTTCCCATGCTCTTTTGCTATTTGCAGGAGTGGAAGCAAGGTTTGCTAAGGGTTTGTGCAACACAGTCCGTGAAGCTGCTGCCATAGAGGCCAAGTCCCCATCCCCTTCTGCCTGCAAGGAGCACAGGACATTCCCCAAACTAACCTATTTCTCTCCTACTTATGCACAAAATCCACATGAGGAGCGGGCTGTCGGAGCAGCGGCAACGAGGACATGGCAAGAGGGGCTCCCACCGGCTCCCCGTGAGGACATCTAGACGCCTCGGAGCAGCACACGGACCTGCTGTGCTGCTGGGGACACTTCAAGCCTTCGCTCCGCTGCCCAAGCTGCCGTTCCTCCTCCTTCTTGCTCTCCCTGGGCCTCTGTTTTCTTAGCTGGTGCCACCTGCTGAGAGCTGTATGCATTAAAAACAACATAATTGTCTTAATGTAATGCAGAGCTGGCCCTGCTCTTGCAGTGCCAGCACGCTGGCGGTTTGCAGTCTGTGCCATCCCAAAGGGTGCCCTGTCACGAGCACAGCAGCATTTTGGGTTGGAATGAGGCGGTTCTGAGGTGGCTGGGGCAACTCTGATACGTGCGACATGTTGGAAGGGGCCTTTAAAAAGAGATGCCTAGAGGAGATGGCAGGAGAAGCGAGCTGGTGGCTGCAAGACCCATGGTGAATCCTGGCTGGGACACACAGAGCTCCAGGTTTCTGCAATCGGTGTCTCAGGCGGCTGGTCACTCTGGGAGCTGCAAGGAAACGTCCCTGTAAATCCCAGAGCCGCGGGGATGCACAGGACTGCTGTGCACAGCGAGCCCTGCGCGCTAGAGGGAGACTTCCCGCCTTGGATGCGAGTGTCCCAGCCGGAGCTGCCCAGAGTGCAGCCAAGCGCGGTGCTAATTTCACACTTTTCTTTTTAAATTGCAATTTTCCAGCTAAGCCTCTGCCCCCCGGGTTTAACCCTGTGGATAACAGGCTTGCTTTCCTGGAGGACCCTTTGGAACCAACCTGGAGCCACAGCTGGTGTGCTGTAGTATCCTGGGAAGCCCTTTGGGATGTGGGGCAGCTGGGCTTGGGCTTGGGCTGGAGCCAGGAGCGCATTGAGGCCCAGGCTCTCACCTGCCCCCCAGCAAAGTCCCCATGTGCTCCCCATCCTTGCATCCCTATCCAGAAGCTCCCCAGCTTCTGTCCTGCAGCTGAGTCGAGGGTGTCCCCACAGCAAGAAACAACAAATATTCCTATTGCAGGGAATATTCCCACTATAGTGGGGAGGATTGGAGTGAGAGCGGGAATGAGAGCGGGCAGCTCATCCCGCGCGGCCCCATTTCCCGGCTCCCTCCCACACCGGTGCCATGAGCTGCCCGTGCTCAGCCGCCGGTTTGGGGGGCGAAGGGGTTAAGGGCGGGGGCGGAGCCGCCCTGCCCGCCCCTACTTAAGGCGGTGGTGGCGCGGGTGGGGGGGGGGGCGGCATGGCGACAGCGCGCCGCCCGAGCGCCGGGGGACAGCGGCGGGACCCCCGGCACGAGCGCCTGGACGCCATCAACCAGGTGGGGGTGCGGGGGGAGCCGCGGGGCGCCCCGTCCAGGCGGCGGGGCGCGGCGGAGCCGCGGGGTCCCCACGCGTGGGGTCCCGCCGGGTTGGGTGTCCTGGTGCGGGGTGCGGAGGGGGACTTTGCGGCGCTTTTGGGGTGCGCTGTCAAGCGAAGCGGGGTACAGGGGAGGATGAGCACGGGCGGGTGGCACTGCCACCGCGGGGGAGCTCGGCATCCCCGCGGGGCGCACATGGCTCGTGGCTGGAGAATGGGGCATGGGGGGTGACAGCGCTTTGTCCCCCGGCTCCTGAGCTGTGCCCTGGGGAGGTGGCAGTCCCCGCGCCGCACGGTCCCGGGGCATTGTGTGCGGTGCCCGGCCGCCCGCCAGCAGAGCTCTGTCTGTCGGGAACGGGCTGCGCCGGAGCAGGAGCTGCTGTCCCGCAGGGAAGCGTCCAGCCTTGAGCCCCATCCATGGGGAAGGGGCTGCGCCGGAGCAGGAGCTGCTGTTCCGCAGGAGAGCGTCCAGCCCTGAGCCCCGTCCGTGGGGAAGGGGCTGTGCTGGAGCAGGAGCTGCTGTTCCACAGGGAAGTGTCCAGCCCTGCAGCCAGGCACCCCCGGCCCCGCGGCGCCCGCACGTCCCGCCGGCGCAAGGGGATTAGGCCAAAGTACGCTGGGCTGCGCGCCCTGCGTGCCAGGGTCAGGCCAGGTCCCCTCCGGGCACAGGGAGGGCTGAGCTTTGGTCTTATCCTGCCCTCCGGCTCCGCATGGCCTGCGGGAGGCCGCTCAGCTCCTCTCCCGACTAAGAAGTCTGAGCGGTCCCGCAGGTGAGGAGAAGGTTTTGGCCTTGAAACACTCGAGGATGGGAGATGTGTGAGGTTATTTCTGGGTGTCTTTTTGCTCCCTTAGTGTTGTAGGTGGAGAGGTCAAAGTGAGATGACCCCAGAGGTGGCCTTGGACATTCCTATCCCTTGCAATAAGGCAATAAAAAGTGCTGCTATGCTCCTCGTCGGTGGGGGTAGGAGACTAGCTGAGGTGAAGTTTATTTTAGGTCACTAAAGAGGGAATTAGATGATTAGAAACCAGAAGGTGCTACGGTAGAATAAGCACGCTTGGCTGAAATGCAGACTTTGCAATGTGAAAGCTGGCCATGAAACTTCCTCCTTTACCAAGAAGGGCAGACGGGTCTAAAATATCCCTGTAGCCAGGGCAGCCTTGAGCAGTGGGCTGAGGAGGAAGGAAGCGTGCGTGCTTACTGCTGCAGTTCTGCCTGCTCTAGAGCCCTGCGCCAGCATCTCTGCTACAGGGCAGATTCAGGATCCTTCATCCCATAGGAGCAGTCGGGCTGAGGCTCCCTGGGATCCCGCATGGATGTGCCAGTGTCTTGCCCAGGGCAGGCTGGCATCCTCTGCCCAAAGCAGCCCTGAATTCTGGCAGGCTCCTTCCCTGGGTGAGGTTGGGATGATGAGAACGAAACAAGCTACAAACTGCAGCTGACGGAGGCGGGAGCTGCTCGCTCGCGTCCTTGCTGCCCCACGTGCTGGCTCGGTGCTAGGAGAGGGGATTAGAAATCAGGCTGCAAACTGCACGGGAGCGCAAACTGCACTGCACGAGCTTCCTGTGGATACAGAGCAGCCACAGTGCTGTAGCAGCTGTGGGCAGCAAACCCCGGGCTGCAGCAGCTCTTGGGCTGCAGCAGACCCCGGGCTGCAGGAGCTCTTGGGCTGCAGGAGCTCTTGGGCTCGCTACTCTTTGGTTGCAGCAGCTCCTCGGCGTGGGGGAGTTTGCTGGGCACAGCTGTGCACCAGGGGCTCGTGCCTCCCATGGCACAGGACTGATATGCAGCCTTGGGTGGATATCGTTGCTGGAGATGGTGGATATCATTCATGGAGGAAGGAGGGAGTTTCCCAAGCCCTGAAGAGCCCTGGCGCTGCAAAACATTCATGATTCCCAATAAAAACAAGTAATCCCACTGTTTAAATTGCTGGCGGGCTTAATCTTAGTGCCTTATCCCAATAGTTCGTCTCCTCCCTTCCTTGTTATCCTGGCTGGTTTTTGCCATGGAGCCCTTGTTGCGGGATAAGGGTCTTTGGCAGGCAGTGTCCCGAGCATGCACGTGCTGCTGAAAGACATCCGAGTCCTCCCACTGTGGAATTCTTCCAGCCTGAAGCAGTCCTTTGGAACCTGCTCTTGGCCATTCCCTCTTCCTGGGGAAAAGCAATCACATTGTTTTGCCTCGTGCATCAAGGTGGCAAGTCTAATCCAGTGCAGATTAGGTTCAACCTCGTTTTACCTTTCTGTAATGCGCAGGGGAAGGAGCTCAGGCTCCCGAGCGCAGGGCCCTGTTGCTCATGCCCAGGGCAAGCGCCAGCATCGCTTGGCCCCTTCCCAGCCTGGGCACAGGAGAGGTATCACACACTTGAACAGCAGCGTGAGAGCCTGGCCAGCCACCTGGAGCCCCCTTTTTGGGCCTGAGGGAGGCTCTGGCTTTGCTCATGGTGTCCTGCAGGTAGCTGGAAGTTGTTTCACTGAATTTATCAGTCTAGAAACCTCTCTTTGCCCAAGAAAGGCTCGGCTCAGGGCAGAGGTGGGGGAGAGGCTGGGGCTTATTAGGCTGTTCTTATTAATAGAAAGTTCCTCTTAAAACAGGATCTTTAGCAAAGGGCTCTGGGAGGAACTTGAGCTGCGTGAGCTGAATCTGAGTCACTGGGCCCTGGGGACCGAATTCCTCTGTGCTATTGTGAGGGTGTTTTGCCTTATCGCAGTCCCGGAGAAACTTGTATACAATGCAGAGGGTGGAATGCCTTTGAACCGAAACCCCCCGTTGTGCCCTTCCGTCTGGGGCAGGTCTGTGACATTGCTGGGCTGTCGAGTTCCCCTCCGGGTGACATGCAAGGGCACTGGGTGCTGGCCTAGTGTCCCTTGTTCTGCTCTTATACCATCCTGCCGGGGCTCTTAGAGCCCCTAAGCACCAGTCCTGGCAGCTCTGCAATTGCAGCCTCTCGTTGTGGCTTCCTTGTGACTTCATCCTATCTGTGCTGCTGCTTGCACCTGCAAAAATACTTCTGTGTTCTCCTGCAGCCCCACTGCTAGATGCAAGTCATCCAGTGCCCTTGCAGGGCAGAATGAGGCTCTGAACTGATGGCCAGGAGACTCTCTGGCTCTGTTCTGGTTCTTGACAACACTTGGCAAGTTCCTTCTGCAGAGGCTGTTTAGTAGCAATGAGAAGAGGTAACAAGACTCGGCTTTCCAGTGACTTCTGCTGCTGATTGAGCCCGGGTCTCGAAGCTGAACTGGGCCCATTGTGCAGGGCTGGCAAATGATACCCCTGGGTAGAAGCAACGGAGATAAATGAGAGTGAGTTGGCCAAGGAGTGTGAAAGGAGGAGCTGGGAACATTTCTTCTCCTCCTGTGACGGATGCTTTTTTCCAGCTGGGCTTTCCAGTAAACATTAGTTCAGCTGTGTGCAAAGGATTCCCCCAAGCAGTGACCAGTGGGCAGTGAAGACCTGAGGCATCTGGGCTTCCTGGGCTGGTGTCCCTGTCCCAGCTGGGTAGGAGGAGGTGACTCCAGCTGCGCAGGATGGAGGGGCCCTGAGTATGGGCTGCATGGTTACATGATGGAGCACAGAAAGCCTTGGCGCTGGCTCCGTGTCATCACCTTGGGGGTTGCAGTGTCATCACCCTGGGGGTTGCAGTGCCCTCTTGAGCTGGCTCTGTCCCAGCAGCCAGACTGGCACAACTCACTGCACTTGGGGAAAGCTGATCCTTCCTTCTGATAGAAATGAGGAACGTGCTTTAGGGAGAGGAGGGCGTGTGGGCTGCTTGTGGCTATGGGATCTAGCAGTCCTCGGGCACACAGATAGGCCTTCTGTGGGG